GTAAATTGTAGACAAGCACTCAGATAGTCGATAACGTAGTTTTCCTTTTATATTAATGGAGTCAGCAGTGTCTAATAGGGATGGTATGCATAACTGATAAACAAAAAACTCTTTTGATGGTAAATAGGTGTACAACTGTCAGCCTCTTGCCCCTAGAGTGTCTATTTTTGTTGATGGAAGAAAAAATCATATATAATACTGTACATTAAATGTGTTAGTAACACTATCCGCCTTTGTAAAACACATATAGTACAATTAAGTATATATATATAAATGAAAATGTTAAACATAAAATGAGACAAGTTGAAATCTGTATGTCCTCCTACAGAAATACAGTAACGCTGTCTGCCTAAAGAAACACTGTCCACCTTTGTAAATCATACATTATTAATATTTGTTTCAGTCTCATTACATATGATTTAACTCACATATATTAATGAAATCTGCTCAAAACATATTGGTTTTTTTTATAAGGGAAGGTATAATCTATTTGAAAATGTAAAATATGTGATATATTTGAATGCTTTATTCATTATAGAGTAAAATTTGAATCTACTATCTAGAATTTATAGATCATAAAAGTATTGAGAAACAGGATTCCATGAATACATATTTAGTTTTTTTGTATAGATTATTGAGCAAATTCAATCAACACCCTTCTCAGGGTGAATAGATGAAAAATAGATTATATGATATATTAATTATAAAAGCAAAAACTCTAAATCTAATGAAATAATATGCAAAGATCAAATGTTTGGTCAAGGACTTTATTTATCAGTATGCTAAAAATATGTAAAAAAAATCAGCAAAATAAATGTCTCGCTCAAATATTAGCAAATGGAAGTGAAAAAATATAATGTTATTGGAATAATCATATGATGTCACTCAATCTAGCAACGTGCCCTCTGGTGTTGATGACGTACTCCCATTTACCCCCACTTCCACCTCTCAAGTGTCATCCTAACTACTGACGTATAATATTTGATGTTTTAGTGTCACATCTGTCACTTATATTACACGCCAAACTACTAAAGTAGTAGTTAACCTAATTAAAGTACTATAAGTACTTTTTACTGCTTCAGTGGTGCTTGGGCTATTTCAGAGTGTTTTCATTTGCTTTAGAACTTAATTTCTTGTAGTTGGTGACTGTCTCCCTATGATCAGCCTCAACCAGATTGTTTTGTCAACATTCTCGTGCACTTGTTTCGAGTACTTTATTGTTCTAGTACGCTCGTGTATGATATACATGTAGAATATAACAAAGGTGAATTACATTTTCTGTAACCCTGCAATGAAATTATTGTTGAGGGTTATTTGACGCAACAGTTAAAAACCTTGTTTGTCATAAAATTATAAAATTAGCTATTTTGGTTATCAGAAATTATTATTCGCCAAATGTTGTCAAAATATGGCTTAGTGCAAGAATAAAAATTAAGAAAATCAGCATTGAACTATTTCTATTGAACAAGTAACGTATAATGAATTACTTATAATACGCTAAATATAGGCGTATTCCTGTACGTTGATGAAATCAAAACTACGAACTTCAAACAACTTAACTTTCATACCACAGTTAGCATGAATGATTGTATTATTAAGATATGTAACAAAGAAAAAATAATTATTTTCGTTCACTAATATTCTAGATAAATGTTTTCCTGAAATTTTATATACAAAAAAAACTGGTTTAAATATAACAAAGTAAAATTAAAAAGTAACTTAGAAGATTTGGATACTGAAGCTTAATATAACCGCTGAAAGTGTACATAGACTAACGCTTCCGATATTGTACACAACCTGTCTGGCGTAATTTCTAAATATAACACATTATTGTTTGACACGTGGTGTCAAGTAAGGAAGTACTACAGTATCATGTTACAGATATTACGGATTTTTTTAACACCACAAAACGCATTAAATGTCGGTAGGGCAGTGTCATTTTTCAAAATTTCTACAGAAAAATGCAAACATTAAATTTTTTAAGCACTGTAGTTTACTACTTAAAGTGTAGTTATCATTTTTTTAACTTATGAAACAATACGGAAGTTTTATTTAAAGTTTTTGTTTTAAATGCCAATTCTTAAATATACTAATACAAGGTATAGTCATTATGAATATTATCTATCTACTTTAACAACAATTATTACTTCAAATAAGATTATTAATTTGATCCAATCGAACTATTGTTAAAATGATGAAACAATTTTTCTAAGTTTCCACACAAGTTTTTATTTTTTAAGTTTCATTTTCTTCCAAAAATGATTTAATATTTTAATAGATGAGTAATAACACTTCCCATACAGAAATATGTATATCTAGTAAGGTTATCTTACTTAGTATCTTGTAAGTTTATGTTTATTTGTATTTAAGTGCAAAGCTATATAATGGGCTATCTGGAATTTGTTTACCACAGATATCAAAACCAGGTTTTTAGCGTTTAAGCCCTCAAGGTTAAAGCTGAGCCACATGGGGGGAGGGGAGTTTGCAAGTTTATGATTATATAATTTGAGCATTGTTACATGATGTGCAAATTTACTTTTTGATTTGACAAATAAAAATTCTGTCATTTTAAAATAAAATACTACTTTCTGCTCTGAGCCCACAACGAGTATCGAACCCCAAGTTTTAGCGTATAAGCCCTCAAGCTTACTGCTGAGTCACTTGGGGCAGGAGAGTCCTATATTACTACCTTATAAACAGAATCAAACAGATTCATCTAGGTCACGATATTAAAGAAATATGCTAGAATTCATCTTAGTAACCGGTGGACCGGTCATGGCCTAGTTGATGGTTTCTATTTTTCTAAAGGATATCTACAGAGTTTTCTAAATCAATTATCTCTGTGAATCAAAAAGTTCATGTTCGAGTCCTGTCACCTTAAAATGGAGCGGTGTGTGCCAGTCAAATCCCACTATTCGATTAAGGTAGCCTACGAGTGGGACGTGGGTACTGTATAATAGCTGTCTTCCCTCTAGTCTATTAGTACAAAAACTAAGGATGGATAGCACAGGTAGTTCTGATGTGGTTTTGCGCAAGTACTTGACGCAAGCAAAAATAAATTATTAGGTTTACAAAAATATAATCACACAGCCCTTTATAGTCTGCAGTTTGTAAGAAAATTCAAAGACTTGTTAAAACAACATCATAGAGCTTAATTTCTGTCGCTATTTTGTAGCTAAATTGTTGTCCACGTTTCATTTTATTCAAAACACTCTGGAGAATGTTCTATAGCCGAGCTTAAATTACTTTTTCAAGTCCCCAGTTAAAAACACTTAATAGTTTAAAACAACTGATAATTCTATGAAAATCACCATTTAAAATATTCCATAGCTTCCTTTATCTCAGTCAACAGTTAAAAACATCCTGCAACTTCTTGCCATTCACCGTTGCAAAAGAGCATTATCAGTCACTAAATAAAAAATAACGCGTTATAACTTCGTCTCAGTTACCATTTCAAAATGAATTCTATAGATTTGTCATAGAAGCCATTTATAAAATAATCTAAAGCTTAATCTAAGTCACCAGTTATAAAACATTCTGTAACTTCGTCTCAGTCATCAGTCTCTTGGGAACATTAGAGCTTCCCTTATGTTTCCATTTTCTGAAGAATGCCTATGGAGTTTTCTAAATTACTTGTCTCTAAGCAACATATATAGCCCCTCCAATGTACCAGCTTATAAACAGCATCTGCAGCTTCTGTGTTTACGATTTCTAAATTACATCCAACAACTTTCTCTACGTCATCAGTTTTTAAGTAACATCCCACAACTTCCTCTAGGTCACCAGCTTTTAACACTTCGTTTGCGGCTTATGTAAATCTGCCTACCACCCCATGCGCAAAGATTCGCAACTTTTTGAGGTGGTGCATTGAAAATGTTGCGCGCAAAATGCTTGCATCATTATGATAAATACTGCAATCGCTTACACTAACATCAATCTTGATAAAGGAGTTAGCACAAAGGATCACATATAAAGTGTAATAAACGTAAAATAATACCAAAAACTCGAGCGCTTTCGAATAGTTGATTATTGTTCTCCTGAAGAAGAATAGTCAACTATTCGAAAGCACTCGAGTTTTGGGTCTTATTTTACGCTAACATCAAATGCTGTCAACCGCAGTTGAAGGGTTAGGTAGCTTCGCACAACTTCCTCTAGGTCGCACTTTTTAAACAACACCTGAACTTTTCTGTTGATTATCAGTTTTTACAAAACTTTCTACAATTTTTCCTATGTTACCAGCTCCGAGGAAATAACCCTTAACTTCCTCCGGGTTACTTTCCAGATAATACCCAACAACCTCATTCAGGTCATGAGTTTCCAAATTATCTAAATCTTCCGCAGGTCATCAGTTTCTAAACAACACCTTAAAGCCTCTTTATAACACGAGTTTGTAAGCATCCTAGAATTTCCTCCGAGTCACCAGTTTGTAAATAACACCCTACAATGTTTTCTTGATTATCATTTTCGAGAAAATAACCTACAGCCTCCTACAGATCACCAGTTTCTGAACATCTACATCTTCCTCAGATCATCAGGTTTCTAAACAAAGCCCTTGCACTAGACCACTAATTTCTAAATAATATCGAAAATTTCCTCTAGTGTGTCCTTATCAGTTTTCTACTAATTTGTTTTGGACTTTAGCTAAGTTTAAAACAAATTGAACAAGGCTCTTGAGCTTGCCCAAATTCTATTACGTTTTGTGTTTCGTAACAAGTCTAGAGCTTGTCCATAAACGATGGATTTTATTCAATAATGCCTGACTTTCTGTTGAACGGTAGCGTCCATGAAACACACTGTTGTTTAGTCAATGTAAATGTTTTGTATAAGTATATTAAAGTTTCTTTTCGAAGTAAACTTTTCATTCTTCATCTTTCTTGTTCTCCAGGTATTACACAATACGTGTATTTGCAAATAACTTTGGTGATATCATACGTTTCTTCAGGTAAGATATATAAAATATTTCTTTACTTTTGTTGTGGAAGTAAAAGAGCTACTATTAATTCGAGACACATGTTTATTGACACACATTCAAATACAAGTAACATAAAAAACTCCATGTGAACTAATCCAAAAATTAAGAAATCTTAAATGACAGGAGAGAAATAGAAGAACATATTGAGGAAACATAATAGAAACTACCAGTGCATTGGAACGCGCAGATAATGATAATTAACAATCCTATGGGTGTAAATTATGCCTGAAAGCCTATCGTTTTTAACATAAACATAAATTAAATTTCATGTTTCCGAAAAATAATACCCAGTTTGCTTCTGAAGAAGAAATGTCCACCTTTCGAAAGCGCTCGGGTTATAGGGTTTTTATTCATTTCTATCAAGACGTGTTTTTTCTAACATCATGAATGTGCTTTAGTGTTTTTATTTTTAATCAGATCAAGATCTGACAATAAATGTCATTCTTGTTCTTCATTTGTTACAAGGTATATTTTATATTATGAGGTATATTTTATATGCACAATTATATGCAATAAACCTTTATATCATCTATTCCTATATAACATACTTCATTGTCCAAACTCTTCTACCAGAAATGCGGGTAAAATTACCACATATCAAAAATTTAATTAATTTTAATTACATTTATGCAGTTTTATAAACTATGTGGAAACATAAACATATATCAAATATAATGTACAAATGAGCTTTAAAAATATTTTGAAGACGAATGTTGATAATTAAATCTGTATACTACAAAGAATTTTTCATTGATAGTGCATTAAAATCCAAAGTGCTTAAAATGATAATCATTGGCGTTCAAATCAATAAATACAAAGCTTTTACGATAATGTTATAATGATTATGTCACTTCAAGATAGTGTAGAAAACGTGAAATTTATCTTCATTTAGAACATGTTAAACATTTTATTTATACAAATTACTCATATTTAAAATAAAAATGTAACATCGGTTAATTCGGGAAGAAAAAACTTTTTGGAACTTCCATTTAACATTCTGAAAACTCTAAGAAAGCAATGTTTCTGTTAACAAGTTTTTTTGGAAAACTACATTTAGCAGAGCCTGCAAACATGGGGTACGTTGTATTTTTGAGCCAGCAGATGTCTGGGTAGCTACAATGCAGTGGGTTTTCTAAAGGACCAGAAAGACAAACAGTGTTTAGGAAATACAATAAATATCATTAAGAAACGGAATTAATTGAATCGTCTGGCTAACATTTCATCACTTTTTCAAACAAACAATTTATGTACAACTATAGAATTGACTGTGTAAAATGATATATATTCTTAAGTACACAATTCAAGATATAAATTACCAGAAAACATCAGAATCAATTAGAGGTTTGAATTAAACATTTTTACGTGATTAAACAATATAAGTATAATTAAAGTAATTATATCTATGAGCACTTTAATTGATATGACAAAGTGTTCATTAAACATAGCCTAAAACATTGTTTCTTAACATTTGTTTTCAAATGAATCATTCTTTGTTTTCTTTTCAAAATATAGTATTCAAACATTACAATTTTAAAAGAAGTCTCACATAAGAACAAGATAGTACCTCAACAAAGAATTATTATTATTTTTCTTATTATTTATAATAGTTTCATCTAAGCCAGCTTGTAGCTGAGCTCTGCCCACCACGGGTATCGAAACCCGGTTTCTAGCGTTGTAAGTCCGCAGACATACCGCTGTACCATTAGGGGGGTAAGCTAGTTTAGTGATTGTTCATTGTTTAATTTGGTACTTATAACTTCAAATTTTCAAACAGCTTTTCATCAAAGGTTTCTTTGTTTTATTTTCATAAACGGTCGATTTCAGAACTAATAACAATTAGAAACAGAAAAAGTTTCATCAGAAACATCAATTGACAAACTGGCAATTGACGTGGAATTAAACTAATTCTTTTTTATTTAAATTTGTTGGGCCAGTTAAGAGTGAAAGGTGATTTTTCTTTATATCATTTTAGTTCAGACATTCTGTTACTAATCTATTCATATGTTACAGTATTAATTAAGTGTTCCAAGTTTCCATAAAGTAATTTTTTAACGTAGGTACTAAGTCCTTGTGTTAGATAGAATATTTTTGCGATACTGCAATTTGTATAATTTGGAAATTAAACCAAAATAAGTATACGATGTGTGATAGAAATTACTAGGATTTTTTATTTGGAGATTATTTGGATCAATTTATCAATGCCTATAAAATGAGTAGAACTTCAAATCCCATCACATATATATATTACCCAAATATTTCAATGTAACATAAGGTGTTATATACTTAAGCATTCATACAAAATAACCTGAAATAATGTGTACTAAACACACGCAACACAGAAATTGAGAAGTACCAAATACCTTAACATAGATACAAAGTAAAATTAAGTGTCATTTACTTAAACACGAATACAAGAAAGCATGAAGCTACATTACCTAACCGCATACACAAATTCGCTTGAATTCCATTTACCCAACCAAAGTTAAGTACCATTTCCAAAATATAAATGCAATATGACACGACATTTCAGTTATCTAATCACATGTACAAAGTACCTATATAAAGTGCCAGTACCTTAAAAAGGTACTAATCACATTTTCAAGGTAACATGAATCGCCATTCACTTAAGCACATATACAAATTGGTATGAATTATTAGCTCTAATTACATTTTAAAGTTAACATAAAACGCCATTCACCTAAACACATAAAAAGTGACATGAAATACCAGATATTTGGACATCCACAGTTTATCTGCGTATTAGTCTTACCATGAAGCCATAGGTGTCGCACTGTCTTCCATACACCATGAAAAGTTTTGAAGTCAAGTTCTGTTAGTTTGTTGTTGTCCAGGTGAAGTGAAGACAGCTCTGGCATATTGTCAAATGATTTTGATTGGATGATTTCAATTTGATTGTATCTGTTTTAATTACGGAAAAAGATAGAGCACGAGTAAATTACTTGTCACTTTTAACTGAATAAAAGTCTATGTGATTAGCTAGTAGATCTGTTAAAATAAACATTTTCAAACAAAAAAATCTTTAAGATATTGAAATCAATTAATTTCACCAAGTGTCGTTTACTGAAAATTTTACGAGTCACGGTGAAGTAATTCAAGCAATCAAATTTCAAAGTTAAGAATGAGTATATCTTGCCTTTTCGTCCAGATATGATAAAAACACTTGGCTAAGCTTAAGGAGATCTTATAACTCCAAACAAGTTTCATTTGTCTCAACTTATAATTATGTTAAGGTGATATCTACTTCTTCATTCAGAATATCGTGTACAGCAACCTAAGTATTATAATCAATATAATTTTTTTATACATATATATAAGTTAGATGAGGTATTTTCCGTTTACTTATACATATATAAGTTAGATGAGGTATTTTCCGTTTACTTATACATATATAAGTTAGATGAGATATTTTCCGTTTACTTATACATATATAAGTTAGATGAGGTATTTTCCGTTTACTTATACATATATAAGTTAGATGAGGTATTTTCCATTTACTATATTTAATGTTATTAACACTTCATATTGAAATTTTATTTCATTTGTACTATAGTTAGTCATCAAAATCTTTATCATCTTGAAGTTTCAGGCTTTTATTGTTCCACAGAATATAAACGTAAAACATTTTGCTTGTTAGAAATTTAAAACTACTGCCAGTTGGAATAATCTTACCTAAACGCATAATGTCGTTATGTTGTAAAATTTTTATTCCTCTCTTGTTTCAAATCTGTCTTAAACAGATTCCATCTGAGATTCAGCAAGTTACTCATCTAATGAGTTATTCGGCTGAATCTTTTATAGTGGATGAAGTGTAGCATATCAGAATCAGAAAACTACGCATCTAACGAATTATTCGATTAAAATTTTTATTCTGTGTGAAATGGGTAGCTTATCAGATGCTTTATATTACAGTTATCTACTTATTATATTCAGTTGTTATTTTGTTTTGTATTGTCGTTATAAGGACATAAGGATTTTGTGTGTTTAATATAGAATCACTTATACTTCATCTTCAGTGTGTAGAGCTAATAAGTGTTGACCTTGCTTTTAAAAGATAGAAGCTTATTATTTGTTATTATTTATTAAACTAAGAAAACCAGCTCTTAACTATGAGATGAGCACACTGCCGCTACATCTTCTATTGTGCAAATGTCAAGAAAGAAAATATCGTGAACTTCGATCGTTGTGCATAACGGTGTGGACTAAAAAACAGGACTGCCATAACCAAATATAACAGATAATATTCGTTAATTGTTTTAGATTTAGTGAATAATTTATAGATCATATCATTTAATTAGATTTAAGTAATGTCAGAAAATTTCGAAAGTGTCACAGAATTATGAAATGTATTTATAACTGCGTACTTACGATAAATCAAGATCCCACAGTTTGTTTTGTCCACTAAAGTAGGATGGTTGAATTTTTTTCAGACTGTTACGTTTTAACGAAATCATTCGGATATCTTTGAGATGCCTAAAAGCATTTTTGTCAATCCAGTGCACATTACAAGCCTGTAGGTCAATGACCATAATGTTGGGGAAAACTTTCAGAAAGTAGTCTGAAATGTAAAATAATCCACTTTCAGAAAATATTATCTTCTTTAGAGTACGAAGTGGAGCTACGTGTTCCCACATCCAAGAGAAAGCATCTTTTGCTTTGATAACTTCCAACACTTCCAGCTGATCTTCCAGACCAGCAAATGGGGACACTTGAGTATTTTCAGGATTAACAAGGATCTTAATAGTAGGTGACTCCAGAACCAATTTTTTTATTTGATTACCTGTAAAGACTCCTCCAGGTAAAACTGGATTGTCATATCCCTTTAAATGAAGTATTTCTACCTTCCTACCTTTTAAGGTCTTTGTCACAGAAGGTAGATCAAATCCAGGGTTACAGGTTACTACTAATGAAGGACAGTTTGTATAAGTACATGTAAGGGAAGCAAATTCAGAGCATGATGGTAAACACCAAGTCTTTGGTAGTCCAGCTAGAACAAACAGCATTAACAGTATCATCATGTTTCTTGTGTTCCTACTGTCTGCAAAGTCAGTTCCAAGGATCAAATATCTAAGCAGTTTTAACTTAGTTTTTAATCACCACAAACCTAATCCGGTATTTGCTTCAAGCTGTGTGTTCGAAGGACAGAATAAAACATAGTTATTAGCGAGCAACATATACAATATGTTTTTTTTATAAAATTAACATGTGTATATATATATACTCTTTACAATATCAAGAAGTGCACTTTAGTATAACGGATAAATTATCAATCTAACAACGACGCTGGTTCTAAAGTAAATGACACAGTTTGATAAGAACGTTATTGTTACAGCACATTCACTCGTTACTATGGTGACATTTGCTGTTTGTTTTTCGTTGACACAAGAAAGTATACGTTACAAATACTGCGAAAAACATTTCAAAGGTCACTAAACTTCTAAGATTAATACATTCTCTTATCGAATTGTAAAAATACCTTATAATTATTAGTAAAGAAGATATTATAACTCGAATAGAAATTAAATTTGGCAATTTTTTAATACGTGTAAACGTATCTACTATCATCAAAGTTTGGAAGGCATAATACAATCATTTTACTATCAGGTTATTTTTATCTCTTAATTAAATATTACGTTTATACAAATATGAGTGTGCTTTCAAATCTCAAACTTATGAAAAAAACGCAACAGGCATGTACAAAGATAAAGCCAAAATCCCCTAAAAAAATAAAAGTTTTGTTTCAGAAGTAATATATTATAATGTTATTTGATGAAAATCGTACGTTACTGTTTTCACTTTTAGCTGACGTGTTTTTCCCCGTTTACTGATAAAAGCTTGAACTAAATTTGAAAACTATATACTTGTATGCCTGTCCGGTTTATATACTTGTATGCCTTTCCGGTTAGTTATCTTCCTTGGATAAAAATCTAATTATCTCAACAGGGTGTTATTTCAATCGGACAAAACTGTCTTCAAATATTTATAAACCTCCTCGACATCGGGATTTTCTTCATTCATACTTTAACAATGGTTTTTGTTCTACATTAGCACCATCTGGTATCTCTCTCAAGGTTCCAGGTGTGACCAAAACAGTCGGACTCTTTACTTAATCACTTCAGAACTCTTTTTCTCAGTAGGTATCTACTCTATGTTTGCCCACCACTTCAGTCAATTAAAAGTTTTTAACGAGCCACTCAAAGACTTTCAAATGAGGTCATAGGCCAAAAAAAAAAAACAAACAGCAACATTTAGTAGAATTTGAGCTATAACCGTTGTCTTGGAGACCAGTTGTTTAACCGTTGTCTTGGAGACCAGTTGTTTATAAAATAATGACAAAAATAAGCAAGTATGGAAATTTTTCATAATCAGGTTTTGATAGTAGATTGATTTTTATTGATCATTTACGCAGTTTTCTTCTATAAATAAACCTGTTTTGATGGAAACGGACAGAACCAATTAAAGTTTCAAAGAAGTTAGCTTTGAAGATATATACATTTATTCAATAATAAAATAAATAATTTTGAAGATTTCTAACACAAGTGTTGTACTCTGAGATTAATTCCAAGAGAAAGAAAGAAAATTGAAATATAATGTTCATCAAGAAGTTTGTTTTGTATTTGTCTATCTTGATTCTTTGCTATGAATCTACTAGCGATGTCTACATCGAAAGTCTCTTTTTCAAACTACATGGTAACTGGAAAACTTTAGGGTTAGAGCTATTGGGAGATGGACTTCAGGTTTTGAACTTTCGACATTGTCTGGGCCCTTGTCTAAGGAGAGAATCCTGTTCTGGAGTTGGCTATGATATCACAAACAATGGTCACAACTGCTCTCTCTTCGCGGGAATTCCAAGAGTTCTATCAACAATTCCCGATAAAGAAACTACGGGGAATGTTTGGGTGAAGCCTGTGAGTGCATGTCTTCATAGCTTACGTGTGCGTGTGTGTAATTTCCCGATTTATATGTGTATATATATATCCTGCATAACCTAAATGAGTTTAATTTCCTCGATATCTCTGTATTATTCGTACGCCTAAGTTCGGTACACATTAAATGAGTTACTTGTGTACTTTTGGGTATATTTTGTCTCTTTGACTAATTTAAGTTGCGAAAAAACAAATCAAAGTAGGATAAAAACCCACTTTACATACTGCTAACTTCGTCAGTGTAAAATGAAACCAGTAAATAAAGTTATTATTCAAAGAAAAAAGGCAGTTACTATTATGGTGAAGGAATAGATAGGAATGTAGCATTTTGAATGTAAAAGAAGGCAGAAAACAGCAGGCAAATAATATATTTTATTGAAAGTACAGCTCAGGAAATATTAAAAGGTAGGAACTATCGCTTTTTTACCGATTGAACTGATACATGTATACCTGAACATCAGTAGTAAGGAGATATAAGCAAGTAGCAATAAAGATACAGGTGAGTCAACGTTAATCATTGGACCAGTATATCGTATGGAAATAAGTGAATGTATAGCACGTGTGGGTTTAATATAAGATCAGGTGGTTAAAAGCACATATGATATTATGATACAAAATCACATTTCCAAATACTCCAGAAGTGATGCAAAAACACTGTATTGCACTTGAATATCATAGAGATAATTATACCAAACCAAATCATACTAAAGCTCAAGCTTATTTGAACTGGTTGTTTAATAAGCGTTTGGTAAAGTTACCAGGAAAACTATAGATCTCCAAACATATACTAAAATAATGCGTAAGTCTTTTGCTAAAATTACAGCAAAGTAACGCATAGCTGTTCTCCAAAAATGTTCTAAAATGCATGCATTTTGGACAATAGCTTATAGCAAACAAAAGACAGATCTAAAATATTGTATTTATATTTTTCTGGTAGCAGTAACGGGATAATTACTAAGAGTGAAATCAGTTAAAACTGTAATTGACAGTGATATTTACATTTTCTTAGTTCGTTAGCTTAGGAGTTTTACACAGTGTATGTTTTACTTCTAGGTACATGATGCATTCGTTGAAAAAACAGCGCATCTCAGATATTAGTATATTTATTTAGATATTTCAATACATATATGCCACCATTTAGTAAATCTTATATAACTTCTATTAGGATAAAAGATATATTGAAACATATGTCTTATCTGTTTCGAGTGTCAACCATTGTTTAAGGCAACCACTTAAGTGACTAAGATTTAAATTTTTTGTTTCCCTGTAGCAATCTAACGAATATTTTATAAGATGTAGACAGTTATTCGTGTATTTTCATAGTTGATTGACGTATACGTATAAGGTAAATCCAGCGATACTAGGAATGTTTTGATTCATTGTAATATATTGTATACATCTTCACTTATATAGGTCACCTGCAAAGACATTCTTTGCCAAAATGGCGGCACTTGTCAAGACATTCACGTATCGACGAGCAGCTATAAAGCTTACAAGTGCATTTGCCCATGGTTTGTTACAGGATATGAATGTGAAACCTGTAAGTTGTTTTTGTTTTATAGCTCCCAAGCTTCAGCTGTATATTTCGTTTATGTGTATACTTTTATGATATTTATTTTCTAACGAAAATGTTAAGCTATTTCAACTATATTGCGAAATTTACTTCTCGGGTTTCATTATCTTTCCTGTTTGGTAGCATTCAATATCTTAACTTTAGACGAATAAAACCTCCGTTCCTGTTAAGTTGTAATTTGTATTTTCAGCTTAAAAATCATTAAATCAAAACATTAGTCTAAACCCTTACTTCCAGACATAACTTCCAGGTAATCTACGATAGCCTTTCAATATGAAATTACTATCGATCTTTTCTCTCTCTCTAGTGATTCTTTCGTTAGCCCTCTCTTTTTTTGTGCTATTTTTTAATGAAAATATTACAATTTTTACTGTTTACCATTTTAAAGTTTTGTTTTCTAATGAGAGATTTTGAAAACGAAAATTCCTTTCGATATGAGTTTGGCTTATGTTGAATTCTCTCTAGTGTATTTGATACTAAAAGTCCGTTTTACAGAATAAAATCCCTTATCTTTAACACATTGGCACATTTAGCTTGATAGTAATTTATTTTGACTATTCTCGTACCTTTCTCAGATACGATTAGATTATTGACTAAGTACTATGTTTTATCCAATATTTTTCATGTTTATTACTTTCATTAGTGCTTCCCGCTCATCAGTTTTGTAATAACTCCATTTACTGGATAAATAAAGACACGCCTCGTTACGAAGATGCAGTAGCGTCTTGTGAGAACAAAAACGCAACTGTAGCTTTGGTGACGAAGAATGAGACCCATCAATGCCTCAAATCGTTGTTGACTGAAAAGTTTACGGACACAGAATCTTACTTTGGTTTCTACATCAGCAACAGAAGCCCTTCTAAATGGATCAGCGAGTTGGTGCCTTGGGCTGCTTCACAACCAAGTAACAACGACGAATGTATTGTGATGTGGGTTAGTAACAATCTAGATTGGGACGACACTTCCTGCACTTACACTGAATTGAAAAAGGGGGTAATCTGTGAAATTCATGTCTGAAAGTCAAGCAAAACGACGCATTTAAAATATTCATTATTACAGGAAACAATTGCACCAGTAACAATATATATACACATGTATATGTAGAGTGTTGTGTTTTTTTATATATTTTGTGCAACTGAAAGGAGTAGCTTATTAGAGTGAGTTACAGTGTTCTTTGTTTGAAGTGATAATAAAGTAAGTTAATATGATATAATACTACAGGGTATGTAATTAGCGAAGTTCGTATCAAAAGTGGAAGGAGTCATTGTAAGATAATGAGACTCTTTGAGTAAACCAAATAAGACAAAGTCAATGTTGAAGCCACCAAGATAACTTAAAATAACTCTTATGGTAAATTACAGTCATGGTGGAAATAACTAAAATAATTCATTTTTAATAGTTAAAATATCTAAGTAAAAGTTATGATACGTATAGATAATCAAAATAATTTAATATAATTGCAGCTGGGATTTACGAAGTATATTAAAATATATTGTAAATAATTAAAGAAATTCCATAAAAACGAGAATTACCAAAACAGTATAAGTAACAAGAATATGTGATACCTGAAATAACCACTTAATGGAGGGTGCCGTGGTTGTGGCCAAGCTAATAACTAACAAGAATATGTGATACCTGAAGTAACCACTTAATGAAAGTTACGGTGGTTGCGGCCAAGCTAATTAAAACCAAAGTACGATGCTGCTGATGTGTACATAACCACGGTAGCTCAGGTCGTATCCACAATAAATTAGAATAGCAGAAGAAATTAGCAAGTTAATCCACTATAAATCTCGAAGTAGTAATAACAATTTAAAACTTCAGTGAGGATTGTCAAGATAAGTTGCTTTATGGGGAAGATAACCAGGGATAAAATTAGGACAAAAAGTGCATTCTAATTCTATTGATTGTGCTAACACAACAGTGAAACTGTTATCAAAGTAAATTTAAAGTTTAAATTATTATTATTATATACCATATTACTTTGATTCGCCTATTCTTAATGTAATAAACTGGGTATTTAAAAAGATTTTTTGGGATAATGTGTTTCTATTCTTTGCTATACTGTAGAATAAAAAGTAAGATGAGACAAGAAATAACATGGTTCGTAAAACGAGCGAATGACTAAGAATTAATGATATAGTTTATTCACCATGCAAAATTAAGTTAGTGAGCATTTCATCTTCTCGTTGTGTTTCTGTTGCACAGGAATTACATTTTTCTTTAATTCTTATAGAACTAGCGTTTGCACTTTAAAAAAGCAAGTGTTGTAAATCCATCAATAAATATTTGACGCATTTTTGTCTCAGTGTTATTTATATAGGATAAGAGTGATTACCTTTTAACAAAATCTTCCTTTGAGAATCTGTTGACAAAAACATTGCGACATTAAGAGAAGAGACTTCTTAGAATTACCTGAGAACAGGATTTATCACGTGTGATACACATTACGAGAATTAAGTGACTTATTAGAAGTACCTAAGAACAGGATTTATCACGTGTGATACACATTACGAGAATTAAGTGACTTATTAGAAGTACCTAAGAACAGGATTTATCACGTGTGATACACAATACCAGAAGAAAGTGACTTCTAAGAATTACCTGAGAACAGGATTTATCACGTTTGATAGACATTACGAGGAGAAAGTGACTTATTAGAATTACCTGAGAACAGGATTTATCACGTGTGATACACATTACCAGAAGAAAGTGACTTATTAGAATTACCTGAGAACAGGATTTATCACGTGTGATACACATTACCAGAAGAAAGTGACTTATTAGAATTACCTGAGAACAGGATTTATCACGTATGATAGACATCATGAGAAGAAAGTGACTTATTAGAATTACCTGAGAACAGGATTTATCACGTATGATAGACATCATGAGAAGAAAGTGACTTCTAAGAATTACCATGAATTTTTTAATGTAAGGTTATAATAATATAACGACAAATAGAATGCATTGTTTGAAAGAGTTCAAAGTGATAGTCATAAAATTAAAATGTGTGTTAAATAAATAAGTAACCCCAATTTAACAGGCTCTTTCAATATGGTTATATGGTTTCTTCTTTAACCATCAGTTTTCAAGATTTTTCAAGAGTTCATTATCACATAAGAAACTAGGCTCGCACTTTACGATGCTTTCAAGACTTCATCATTACGTGAGAGGCTAGGCTCGCACCTAACGATGATTCCAAAAGCTTGTCATCACGTGAGCTTTTGAAAACGTGTGCATGTTTCTATTTGTGTCTTTGTGCTTAAGCGCAAAGCCACATAATGGGCTATTTGTAAAGAAAAAAAAATGATTCAGCTATTCGAAAAAATTAAACTAAAGATTATAAATGTAATAGTGCGAATTTTCTATGCGAATATAAAGAAGGTCTTGAACGACAATATTTGGAAACAATGGCCTGACTTAAGAAAATACTGCATGTAATTAATAGACAAATAAATAGCTTCCGTAATATAGCAAAGTTAAAAGTTACAATGTAAGAAGATCTCACAAATACTATATGGATCATAAAAAGAAACACACGAAACGTAACTGGATAAACTCCAAGTGGAATATCAATTAGTTTCATTTAGAGATCATACAAAAACGTTTCACATGTTTATTTTTAAAGCACCTTTTACGCTGTTTACAGAGTTTTCTTATGAAGTTAAAAATTCATTATTAAGGAAAAAAATACAGCTAGAAAAAATCCTGCAATGAAATTTAGGGATAAAATCAATATTATGATTAAATAGTAGATTTATAAAAATGAAATGGAAAAGACGAAATGCTATTGAATATCAAATTCCAATTGAAACAAAAACTAAAACTGTATTGTGAAAATCCTATGGGAAAATGTCACTTAACTTGGAGAAACTTATAGATTGTTAAGTAACAGAAAAATGACTACATCTTTATAAATTAATAAATTTAAAAATTATACTTCTATCATATCTGCTGATATCCAGATCAAAAACAGATACTGAATTAGTAACTTAGTACCAAAGTCTATTTTAGTCTATGTTCCTAAATAATTAATAAATTTAAAAATTATACTTTCATCATATCTGCTGATATCCAGATCAAAAACAGATACTGAATTAGTAACTTAGTACCAAAGTCTATTTTATTCTATGTTCCTAAATAATTAATAAATTTAAAAATTATACTTTCATCATATCTACTGAAATCCAGATCAAAAACAGATACTGAATTTGTAACTTAGTACCAAAGTCTATTTTAGTCTACGTTCCTAAATAATCTTGCTTATATACATAGATAAACATCGAGACATTCTGGAACTAGAATTAATTTCGCCAATAACATTTCAACGTCTTATTATACAGTTAACATGAGACCTTTACATGATCCTCTTTAAATTGAAGGCCTTTCTAAGAGATATCGTATATCTAATGTCAATTCTTCTAAACTACATAAAACGTTTTTAATCATGTGCTTTTAACTTTCTTTTGGTGTTTATATTACTTTAAAGCATAATTATTAAATCTAAAACGACTCTCAGAGTATTTTTACCCATTATTTCAGTGCCTTAAAAGTAGTCCTTAAGAGAAGGTTATACTGAATTTAATACTCTCAGGGATAAAAATCTGGCTAAAAATGAAATTTTGTAAACGCGTTTCACTTAATCTTCTAAGTGCTCGTGGAACCACTTTATTATTTTCAAGCATAAGATACCATCGTGACAAACAGTCTCATCTTATCATAAAATATTTTTAATTTCTGTCATATCTCTCTACCAATAATTAAAATTAGCTTGTAGAACAAAGATAAGGTTGATTGTTCTTAAGCAAGAGTTACACAATTAGTTATTTGTGCTCTTCCCACTGCGGGTATCCAAACTCGAACTTAACGTTATAAGATAAGAAGTATAGTTGATAATTTCATGTTATTATATTTTAATATTTCAAACATATTTTTATTTTCATTTATATCAGCCCCCCAGTGGCACAGCGGTATGTCTGCGGACTTACAACGCTGGAAACCGGGTTTCGATACCCGTGGTAGGCAGAGCACAGATAGCCCATTGTGTAGCTTTGTGCTTAACTACAAATAAACATTTATATTAATTACATATACTGAAATTCCATTTTATTAGAATCTCTACTTAATATCAATTCGAAAATGTTTTGCAGCAATAAGAAAACGACAGTAGTCTTATTCGATCGAACCTCTTTCATCGTGGAACATAGTCTACAATTGGTTTACAAATCTCGATAGAGGATTGCAGTAGCAACTGAAACTCTCAATCTCTTTCGAATAATGTTCAGTCAGACTGAGATCCTAGGATTGTTCTAACGAAAAAACAAATGACTGTATTCATTATGATGTTCTTTGAAATACACAAATTGGGTGTTTTAATGCATTATCTTCTGGTCAATCGTGGTTTAGATATGCATTGTTGGTTGGACATGGTTAAGAAACACCATGAGTATTATTCATTTTTTTGAATGATTCAAAAGACTCAACCTTTCACGAAAACGTTCCCATATTTGTATACAATCTCCAGTGTTCTCAAAACAAAAATCACCAACTATAAATGTACGATAAAATTAGCCCCACAAAACAGTGATGGTTACATAAGTATAGTAAATATCTCACAAAAAATACACAATAATACTCGTCAAAGCTATACCAATTGAATAAAACTACAAAAGGTTTAACTATAAATGTAAACTATAATAATATAACCCAAAAACACCGGCTATATTCTATTTCACCAGTAGCTAACAAGAATAGCTAAAGAACCAGTAGACCAACAGTATCAATTCAGAAAGGGGAGGTACTCAGGTGCTTAAAACCTAAACGTTATAAATTTACTGTTCATGACCAGGAATGAGAATAGTAATGCTTTCCTTGGTAATTAATAAGTACCTTGAAACTATCTAGCTGTTCACAGCCAGTTAGTTAAAACAATGTCGCTGGAAACCTTATCAGAAACATGATTTATAAAGTCGGCTTTTATCCAAGACACCCAGCGAGATGCACTCATTCACAGAAAGGCAAAAAAAAAAAATTCTCCACAATGGTACTTGTGGAATGCTAAGCAATATCATTTTTACAGATGGTGTTG